CCAATTTATTTTAACATTTATTGCATAACAGGCACCCTGCTGTATAGTTAAATATGGTAGCAGTAAATGCAAGAAAATGTGCAAATCTGAAAGGTTTAGCAAGAGGCAAAAATGCAACTAATATGAGCTGTTGCCTAGACTAGTCTTGACTGAGATCCAGGCATTTAGTGAGGAGGAGAATGAAGTGGAAGCAAGTCCATATCCTTGTCTGGGTTGTCTTTCACGCCCCCACACTGCTCTGGACAAGCTGTGTCCAGGTACTGTTGTACGGAGTTAGTGTCCCTTCCTGCTCTCTGGTCTCCTCTTGTCTATTACAAATCAGCTACCTGAAGATGAATTCTTTTCTCCTAAAATCCAAGTGACTTTCCTGAGTTCAACCCATTTGAACACAAAGGTTATGAAGACAGTCTCTGGAGCCAGGCTGCCTGCTGTTACCAGCGATATGATTTTAGGTAAGTTACTTAACTTCTGGCTCGGCTTCTTCAATTGCAAAATGAGCATATAAATAGTGTGTAGTTCTTAGTGTTGTTAGGAATTTTTCATATGAAAGTGATTGTCTTAAGTAAAGCAAACATATAAAAATATGCATACACCATGAGAAAGGAAACAAAAATACCAATCTACAAACAAATCTGACAAACGGCCCATCTCTGATAGGCTTCAAACCTAATACTAGAAAGACAAAGTGAAGGCCAGATATAATTATCTCGGGGATTCAAATTTTTAGAAATATGTCACAAAGAGGGGCAAACGTGGTTGATTGTTTAAATCAGCGGTTCTCAATAAGGCTTGGCCGATTCATAACAGTAGCAAAATTAAAGTTATGAAGTAACAAAGAAAATGCCGTTTCCCCAAAAGTAAGACATCCCCTGAAAATAAGACCTACTTACAGTTTGCCTCGTGCTGAAATATAGGGCATCCCCCCAAAAATAAGACCTCCCCAAAAATAAGGCCCCCCAAAGCTACTGTAACTCTAGACTCTGGACCACAGCGCTGGGCGCCGCCACACAGCTCATTGTTGGCCGCAGTGCAGCCGGAGTAGACAGGTAGCGCGAGGTCTCTTTTAATAAAACAATAAACAATAAATGTGTACCGTATTCTTCTTCATGGAAAAATAAGACATCCCTTGAAAATAAGACCTAGAGCATCTTTGAGAGCAAAAATTCATATAAGACACTGTCTTATTTCGGGGAAACAAGGTAGTTTTATGGTTGGGGGGGTCACCACATGAGGAACTGTACTAAAGGGTTGCAGCTTTAGGAAGGTTGAGAACCACTAGCTTAAATGGTTAACACTGATGACTCTTGTACACAGCAGAACTGTGACCTGCATGTGGGGACTGGCCAGGAGGTGGCACAGAGTGCGGGTGGCTGAAGGAAGCACACCTCTGATCTTCCTGATACTAGGGCCAGAACACAGACTCTTAAGGAGAGCAAAAGAACAACAATGGGAACAAATCCACGAAGCCCCGAGGAGCCCCAGAAAGTAGACTTCTGACTCAAGGGGAAGCACTTGGCATTTCATTGCGACTGGTGAGGGGATATTCACAAAGGTCCTCAATTAGATCTGGAACTATTTATATGTTTAAAAAAATTATTGTTTGATGTCTATCTACATAAGATGGTCTGGTTAAGCAATCCCAAGGAGACGGCAATAGGACCAATGATTTTGGGGGCAGGGAGGCATGGGAGAAGAGCAGATGGGTGAGGGGAGTGGTGAACCAATTATGTCAGGGACAGGGAAGAGCAAGGGATCTAACATTGACAGTGAGTAGGAAGTGGTGTCCCTGGGGGTGTTCGATCAATTGTGTTGTATCCGAGAGGAATTACTGAGAGGTGAACAAGG